CCATGTCCGGTCAGAATGGGGACGTTAAATCCGATATCTCGTGTAAAGAGAGTGCCACGAGTTTTTGCACGTTAAGAATCCTTGCAAAAACTCTTTTGAGGGGTCCGTAGTCTGCCTGTTGCAAGGCACAATTTCTGTCCCTATCCATATACCCTCATTTTCCAGTGGCAGTCCAAATTTCCCCGACCATCATCCCAGTTGGCCTCTATTACAAGACCTACTTATTGTATTTATTGTAAACTTGTTCTCGTCCTGAACATGAATGAAATATTTGCCACTGGACGTTAAGCGACCAACAATCAATCAATCAAAATATTAAATGCCTTGTAAACAAAATCGTTATTTACTTCTAATGGAACTGGCGGCAAATTCGCCTCTTTTAAAGTTTCATCCATGATTACAATTAATGAAGATCTTCAAATTTGTCCATTTCTTTTAGTGCAGACACTTTTACAACTAATCGATATCTTAATTTATTGTTACGTATTCTTAAGTAACTATCCTTAATCCATAAGGCCAGGATCTGTTGTTTTTGTTTGTCCCCTCAAGGACGAGTGTTGAAATCTAAAATGAATATAATTGTAGATAAACATACTGAGAGAGAGGGAGAAATCTAAAATGAGAGAATAGAGAGAAGAGAGAGCTCCACTTGTTGATGAAGCTAAGAGATAACAATTGGTCATAAGGACCTGCAGTCCAAGTGAGCTTACAATGATTTTTGTATTTGATAAAGATAACATCAGATTTAAAACATTACTTAGGGGAATCAAGGGGGAAAGCACGGCAGCTGTTTGCCAATTAGACCCAACAGAGGTAAAGGTCAGGGACCTAAGTACGCGTGTTGCTAATATTGTTTCCCAATACGTGAAGAAGGAGAAACGATTTCTTGGGAGGGGCTATTATTGTAATGATGATTTCAAATTTCCATGGTGGACATGCGATAGCAACTTTCAGTCACCAAATGACAGAAGAAATTACAAAGATCAGCTAACAAACTCAGAGCTACAGATAATTCTATGGAATATATTGATATGTCAAGACTTCCTAGTCGACCACCATCCTGCTCTACTAGATTTCATTTACCTGTTCAGAATAAGAGCGTGACTTGACATCTGGAAAAGAAAAGAGATTTGTTAGTATTAAAAGTTGGTCAGATGCATTTAGCATTTTCTCTTCCGTACTCAAGAGGTTTAGCCCTACTCGCACTACTATACCAGATGATTGAGCCATATATATATATATATATATATTGTTTGAACGTAGTTTTCAATTTAGACTTGTTTATATTTTTTCGTTTGGGCTTGTATCATATTTTCCCTCCGGTTTTTATGATCCGTTCATCCTATTTTGACTCTTTAAATTCAAGAGTCTATCCTAAATTGAGGTAAATTGTCTGGCCTTCCAAATACCGTTTCGATCCCTAACATCACTGAAGAGACATTTATTGTCGAAATCCGGATCTGGTGTACAAAAACGTTTTGACACCTCATGTTTGTGGTATAACATCTTTGCCGCAAGTTAATTGTTTTCTGTTAAGTATTAAATTAATATTCAGATCCATTTTGTTACATCTTGTGATCAATTTATTTGGCAATCGCCAATGGCAGTCAGCAGGGTTTAAGAACATCAGTTGTTCGACCTGTTAGTCAAATGCGTTTTGTTAAAATATACTTTTTCACTTTTATGGTGTTTTGGAAAATGTTGTTTGTGCTGTATTTAGACCCTTCTACAACGAAATTTGTTTTACATGCACACGTATAAAAATTGCGGTTTTTATCCAACGCAATCATAGGTTTGAACGTAGTCTTCAATTTAGACTTGTATATATACATACATATATATATATATATCGATTTGATTCTACATATTCAAAGAATTGTGCCAATTGGTATTATTTACGATGTTAATATAAAAAGGAAGATGTGGTATGATTGTCAATTAGACTCTCCACGTCAACTCTCCACGAAAGACGAAAATGACACAGAAATTAACAACTATAGGTCACCGTACAACCTTTAACAATGACTAAGACAATCAATGCACATGATGACACACTTTCTTGCAGTTCTGTTGATCAAATCTTACATAAACAGTCCCTTAATAGATGTATTCTCACAGTAGTTAGCCAACACAAATCGCCCAGTATATTAAAAAAAAAAATAGAAAATTTCGAAGTAAAAAGAAAAGGCTTTAAAAAAATTAGGATGGAGGGAGGCAATAAAAATTTTATTTACAATTTCATATGACGTGCATCAATTACATGAATACTAAGCATCAGGCCGATAGTACCACTATATCAGGGAGTACTATGTTGTTCAGATGAGACCACTTTACAAGTTCTGCATTTGTAGGAAAATGTGTCTTTGCTACAGGCATTTTATCCTTAGTAAACACAGCATTTAAATATGTAACGGAGGTCATGTATTTATCGCATGCTTGTAGTACATTCAATCATGATCTGTAGGCATCATATGCGGACTGCCCATAGTATTAAATGAGATTTTTGTCACAAATGTCGGCAATTATCTTAAAAGCTAACCAAACCTTTTAACAGACTTATTAAGAAGGGATATAAATTACTCATCATAAGACAGCTGAGTCAGGACCGGTGTTGCTTTTCCTGACTGCAAAACTTACGTTGTTAGAAAACTACACACGGTTGGTCAGTCAAAATCCTAATTTGTAACACGACAGCATTCGCACAATTTTCAGAACTTGGCCGAAGGAAGGAAGACTATTAGTACTCACATTAAAAGATGCATTCGCTGGCAAGAATTATTTGAAAATCATCGTGGACAGGGTTCACGCAGAAAGACGAAGAAGACAAAGAAAGACATTTTAAATCGAAAGCAAAAGGACAAATCATGGACTGAAAAGAATGATATTAGAGGAATCTGCCTAAGATCATACATTTAACAGGTTTAACACCTTTATTCCTGACAAACAGATGCAGATTAAAAAGGACCAAATTAAGTTCATGAAAGAAAAAAAGCCTGAAGGTTCAACAGAAAAAGAATAAAAATAAAAATGACAAAGGTTAATTATTGTGGCAATTTTTTTCCAGGCATCACTGTAATTATGTAGACGATGGTCAGCCATACAAATAAAGTTATATTTGCTTTGTTTTTGTCCGTATTGTTCATATTTGCACATAATTAAACGTAACTTTTAGTCATCAGAATATGAAATACATGTATAAATCCTATATTCAATTGTACATAGACCGTGAACATGGTCATTGTTGTATGGATGTTGATTAAGGACCATAGATTCGATCAATAAATATTATTTAACGACTTTTTTATTGATCAGGCATCATATGCGGAGTGCCCATAGTATTAAATGAGATTTCCATCTTTTTTCATAAATGTCGGCAATTACCTCAAAAGCTAACCAAACCTTTTAACATTAAATCGACCATTTAATAGATGAGTGTATAAGTTGTAAACATAAAACAATAAACATGCGGAAAAGATGGTATACCGCAAACATGAGGTGCAAAAATTTGTACACCATATCCGGATTTCGACAATTAATGTCTCTTCAGTGATGTTGGGAATCGAAACGGTATTTGGAAGGCCATATAATTTACCTCAATTTAGGATAGACTCTTGAATTTTGAAAGAGTCAAAATAGGATGAACGGATCATATAAACCCGAAGGCAAATATAATACAAGCCCAAACGAAAAAATATAAACAAGTCTAAATTGAAAACAACGTTCAAAACTATGATTGCGTTGGATAAAAACCGCAATTTTTATACGTGTGCATGAAAAACAAATTTCTTGGTAGAGGGGTCTAAATACAGCACACACAACATTTTCCAAAAGACCAAATGAGTGAAAAAGTATATTTTAACAAAACGCATTTGACTAGCAGGTCGAACAACTGATGTTCTTAATATATATATATATAAATATATATGGTATTTCATTTGTCAAGCGACGTCACATGGCGGTGTACATACCATATACGGTCAACAACTGACAAATGTATGGTAATTACAATGTCAACGTCAAAATATTAAACTCGTATTGTTTTTAAATTCCACACAGACATAGTAATTATGCACCAAAATTAGGATATATGGTAGTCAGCAAGATTTTCGTTACACAGTTTGTCAGTGACCTAATATGGTTATATGGTGTCAGTAAATTCAATATGGGTTGCGAGCATTACTCTTACCCCATATGAAATTTATTGACACCATATATAAATACCATATCAGGTCACTAACACACTGTGTAACTAATTATACCCTGTCTGACTGTCTGTCAATGTAATTTTTTAGCCAAGCTCCTACTAAGTAGATGGATGGATAATGATAAACTTTGCACTGTTGTAGTACACTACATAAGGATGTGTATGACAGAAGATATGGTAAAGGGGAGATAATCCAGCTCACTTAGTCAAATAATGAAATATGTGTAAAAGCACAACTCCTCTTAAACTGTTAGATGGATTTCAATGAAAATTTACTCAAAGCTAGTATCTTATATATGTAAATGTGCATAAAGAAATATCACCTTGTTCGATAAGGTGCAAGTTTTTTTAAAAAGGCTTATACACTGACTTTGACCAAGAAATCAAATATTCAGGAATATAAACAGGGCATCTGAATATGAAAATACAAACAAAAAATCAACAGACAACACAAAGTCTAACCTATTATTATTTTTACCCTATAACCTACACAAAGATGAATTATAGAGAACAGATGTGAAAAAACGCATTTTTGACTAATTTATACGTTAAAAAATCTTGTATGTTATATGGTGGTCAAGTGATGTCAAATCCAGTATATATGATCCCCGAACCGGAATTCAATGCAAAACATCTCAGAATGAGTAGACTCAGGTACCAGAACAAGTACTTCAGGCTATGGGCATGGCTAAAAATGATATACGTCTACTGTCACTTTACTTTATATGTACTTCTGTGTTCATTGCAAGGTAAATATATATATAGGTTAAAGTATTTTCTTTTCTTATAGGTGTAAATATACAAAGGTATGACTACAGTGAATCCCAAGATGGCAAGTCATACTGTGATGCTAAAATTGCTCATATGAGAGCAAGGCTGAGGAAATATGCAAGCAATGGGGGTAACATATCATGTTCAGAAGACATGAAAAAAGCCTTGGATTACGGAGATGGTGTGCCAGGATGTCACATTGCCCATGTTGAGATTCCTCAACCAGCTGATCAATTCACACTTCAGCGAAAAATAAAGGGGATCACAAAGATTTCTAATGTACAATTTGAAGATTATGGTCAAATAAAATATTGGAGAAACTACAACGTCGGTGTTGGTCACATTTTGTCAATTACACCTATTAACCTAGAGTCAACCTTAAATATATTTTCAGACTTTAAAGTTCCTTGTAAAGACACTGGAAATATATTAGCTGCTCGAGAAAAACAAACCTCTGAGGAAACTCAGTCTGATGTTAATCTGACATGTCCTGAACCAAATTGCAATACAGTATTGCATTCTTATTCCGAACTGAATGACCACTGCTTTATTGGTATCCATCACTACCTGTCAACATTTGATGGTATCAAAATGAAATGGCGTGACATTTGTTTGGATATTGATTCTACCTCATCAAAAACCAAACAAAGCACCCTTTCATCCAGCATAAGTGAATTGTCCCTTGGATGGGCACTGAAAAAGGACAGAAAAAATGCTCGGTTTTCAGAAAAGGTAAAAGTTTACCTTAAAGGTGTGTTTGATGAGGGCGAAAGCAGTGGCAACAAAGCCAACCCGGTTAATGTTTCCAGGAACTTGAAAGTTTGCCATGATTGTGATGGAATGAAAATGTTTACACCAAAGGACTACTTACAACCCAGTCAAATTATTTCCTATTTTTCAAGACTGGCAGTGCTGTCCAGAGCTCCAGCAACAAATGTAGTTGAAGACGATATTGACAGTACCATAGCAATAATTAATCAAGCAGAAGCACTGGAAGAACTTGTGAATCTTAATATTTTTGTTTGAGAGTGACTTGCTGTTAATTCAGAAATTATTGCTTGCATTTATTATTCTGATATCATTCCAAAATGAAATAAAAGTTATTGTGATTTATAACAGGAAAACAAACAAATTTTATCATTCAAAATGTGAGATTATATTATTACAATACTCATCCGGTTGCAGTTTTCGAAATAACAAAAACTTTGCAATAATTTATGATTTTACAGTAAGGATGTCTATTGGTCAAATTTAAAATAACAAGAATTGTATATTACACAGATTTATAACCTACAATTTGAAAATTTAATCTATTGTCAAATTTAAAATAAAAAAGAATTTTATATGGTTGCTCTGAATTAAATGAACTTTGACATCAAAACAAAATAAACTAAAAAAAAATTATAGTCTCTTGACTGCAGCTTTCAAAATATAAGACATTTGAAAATGGTGAAAAAAAGTTTTTTCTAGGTTTTACCTTATGTCCTGTATCATTGGGAATGTTTTTGACTTAAACTAAGAAATTGAAATGATCTATTGAACAGATATATGAAAAGAAAAGTAAGGTTTTGTGTGAAAAATATTTTACGCTATTTGTATTTGGAGATTAACGTTTTGACTAAAGTATTGAGCATGAAAAAAGTAGAAAACAAGTTTGCTTGTGTCCTTTGTGTATGACATAAAAATTGAAACTTTTATTCATTGTGCAATGTACGTTGAAGTATTATATATACATATACATAAATCTAATAACTCCTTGCTATCTGAAGCACTCATATTATCTCAATCCCTTTTTACTCAGAATAAAAAAATGTTGGTTTGGATGTATTGATAGTTTGGCAAAATATTAAGATTTAAGTCATATTTTAACCTTAAAGAATAAGTTAAAACCTTTTCTTTTTAATAAACTCAAGTTAAAGCACAATATAATATGGAAAATATATATATTTGATGAATGAGTAAATCAGCAACATGGAAACAAATTGAGAACATATAGGCCAGACTTGGGGTCAATTACACTGGAATGTAATTAATTGAATTACACATTACATTGCAAAAATATCCCCAAGGGTGACTGGGGAATAGAAGTATGGTCACCATTGGTCTTCCTCCGACCGGCGGTAAAACCCTCGTCAAAGTGGGGCGTCCGTTTGGCTGTGCGGGATGTACAAATTTGCAGCCACGTCCGGTCAGAATTGGGACGTTAAATCCGATGCCTCGTGTAAAGAGAGTGCCACGCTCTTTGCACGTTAAGAACCCTTGCAACAACTCTTTGAGGGGTCCGTAGGTGACCTGTTGCAAGGCTAAATTTCTGTCCATATCCAATATACCCTCATTTCCCGTGGCAGTCTAAATTTCTCCGACCTTAATCCCTTAATCTATTACAGAACCTACCTATTGTATTTATTGTGACCTTGTTCTCGTCCTGAATATGCATGAAATATTTGCCACTGGACGTTAAGCAACCAACAATCAATCAATCACTAATTACCATTACACAGTTTTTGAAATGTAATTAATTGAATTACAATTACTTTACTAAAGTAATTAATTAAATTACACATTACAATTTATCATATTTTTTTTAAACATTGTTTACAATATATATAGCATGTGTAAAATATTCATGTAAGCTTTCAGCATAGTTTAAGCAATGTATTTGATCACCATAAGAAGTTTTAATGTTTTGTCATTTAGTCTACATCTCTCTGGTCCAAACACGTTTGGACAAGAGCTGATGTGGCCGGTATTGCTAGATCATAAGATGTGTTGATGGAAGAGGGAATGTGTTCCTATCAACTTGAAAAATTGTTTAAGCGTTTTTGACATTGTCCGAAAAACGCAAAAATTTCGACCCTTTATTATGAATAATCAATTATGAATACACGAGATATCAAAAATACCTACGCGGGAGTGTTAAGGCAGGACATACGTTTTGTTGTAATAAAAATAGAGGTTTTGGCGATATTATTTTGTGTTTGCTACAAAATCATTTATCAGTGAGAAAAACCCCAACTTCTATTGTAATATAACAAGCGGAATGTCTACTTTCATTTTTAACAAAAAAATTGCCCATGTCTAAGTCACGTGACCCGTCACGTGATTTTATTTATATATATTTAATAAAAACAGTAAATCGAAAAGTACAAGCTTTTATCGACCACCTTTCCTAAAAAAATTGGGCTTATTTTATTCAGAAAATTCTTTTTTATGATGAAAGTGATGTCCGCTCAAATTGTTCTGTAAAAGAGACCTGCTAGAAATAAAATTTCGTCAGATTTTCATACCATGGTCAAAACCAGAGAGAACACAAGTTGTTTTGATATCCTTATTAAGTGAATCTTTTAAACGGACAGCACTTTCTATAAACCATTTATATTCAGGATTCTAAAACCGTATGGATTATAGAGCATCGATGGTTATGAAAGCTTGTACTTTCTCTCTGAAGGTTGGTCGTTGATTGAAATTTAGGCTTCTCCATTGCCATCAAGCGCTCAACTGACGGCAAGGGGAGATTATCAAATATTTGCTTTTTAAAAAGCTGGAAATTACAATTCCATAAACAAAGGGTGTCGTTGTAGATTTTATCGAGTAATTGGATACTTTCTCACATTTTAAAATAAAATTGTATTTTATAACCCACCCTCTGCCTTTGTTGTTTCATTAAAAGATCCAACAAATAAATAATATGTCTGGTTTGTATCCATATCCATATGATACAAGTTGTTTTTTTTCAAGATATAGCCTAGGACATCATCAGTCAACCGCATATGTTAAGAAAATCCACATTGGTATACGAGATGTAAATAAATGACAAACAAAATGTGCAATTCCAACAGTATAACTCTGCTCCTAGTTGAACGAATGGAAATATAAAAAAGGGGGGGGGGGGGGTTGCATTCCGAATTTTGAACTCGACACATCAATGAATTTTCAAGCTTAATTATCCTACACTTCCATTTTATTCACTGGGAGTTTATGACTAAATTAACCTACCTTTCAACAACTTTCTCTATAAATCATTCATATAAATTATTATGTACCCCATACATATATTTTAGTATTGATCATTTTCTGACATCTTGGACTGAAGAGAAAAATATTCAGGTTTGCCACATTTTTTTTCTCCATCAACTTATTCATACACGTCCGAAAAAAGTGTTTTCAGCTTTCATACCTTTTAATATGTTGGACTATGTACGAGGGTTCGATTCCCTCCCTGAGCTTAAAATATAAATTCATGCTGGTGCAAAGAGGGTAAATTGCTCAGTGACCCCGCATAGTCCATCATGCTTCCAGGATTCATTTTACATGTATTATTTTTCCAATTTCAAAACCAGTTTTTTTATGTTGTATATCTCGGCTAGATTTGTTTCCCTGTAAACACTGTCATTTTTTTTCCTCTCTGAACTTGCAATATTGTGTATTAAAGTTTCATATTTAAAGTGTAATGTGAAATTTGAAAATTTCATTTTTTTTTTTGGCAAACAAATAAATTTACTGCATTACTTCCATGGAACCAACTTGACAATGGATGCCACCTAAAAGTCAAAGACAAGAAAAAAAACTTTTTCCATCTTTAAAATTTATTTCATAATCATGATAGTGCAATTTATTTATTTCAACAACACAACAAAACAGACGCCTAGTGAGGTAGCTGAAAGAGATACAATAACAAGAAAAAACTGTTTAGGGATAACACCTACATAGAAGTTATTCGGTTAAGCAGGGGCATTTTCAAAGACGTATAAACTGTAAGATATCACATACCAAACATCTAAGCCAAATTTATTAGATTTATGTAAGACTCCTATTAGAGAAGTGTGCCATTTTAAGGTCAACAACTGGTTGTCCAGTGATGCGTGTGAGATCACGAGGTTCTTGGTACACCATAAATCAATCTTATCTTAGACAGAAGCCTATGATGATTAAACCGCCACATTCCTTCAGGGCTTTCAATAACTTTTCAATGAACAGGCTGTTTACTAATTTGAAGTGGCTGACCAAAAAAGGGGGGGTCAGGTGGGCTTGCCCCCCGAAATTTTTTTTTGACCTTACATTGAAAATGGTGCACTCTGAGGCATTTTCAAACTATTTACAAGTGCATAAAAAATGGGGTTTCATAGGAATGTTATCTTTTTTTTTTAGCTTGTAAGGTCAATCTTGTGATATTGCGTATTAAAATAAGACAAATAAAAATATATCAAAAATAATCTTAATTGTTATTGTAGTGCCAGATTTCGCAAAAAGTAAGAAAGCAACGGAGGGTCAGCATAAAATATTAATACCAAGACTCCGTGTTGAAGGCCTTACTTTGACCTATAATGGTTTACTTTTACAAATTTTGACTTGTATGGAGAGTTGTCTCATTGGCACTCATACCACATCTTCTTATATTTATGTAGAGACCTACATATATATGTCATCTGCAAAATCTGACAATTTCAGTTTTGATCCAGAAAAGAAATATTATTTTCATGTGTTCTATATTTCAATAAAAACATGCAAATCTGGGAAAGGACATATATGCTGAAGTGGGAAAATGTCTTCCCCTTCTTAGCCAACACTTTTAACAAAGGCTTCCATTCGAGATAGGTTAATGTAAAAAAAATTCAAACTGAGGCAGGACCCATCTTAACATTGGTACTTTTTTCAACGAGTGGGCTAATGATCAGCAAGGGGAAAATTATAACTGAAAAAAATAAAGAGAGCCTTGGCATAGCCTTGGCATTTACCCTCCTACCTACTTTTTCAGTAAAACTTGACGGGAAAGGTCCAACTATAAATAAAAAAATGGGAAGCCTTCCTCCTATCCTAGGCTTCCTTGATGGCCCCATCCACAACAAATGGGTAATGACAAACCTGGAACTATATACTACAAACTGGAGAGAAAAGGTCCCAAAAAAAAGCTTGGGCAGGCCTCATTTATATAAACATGAGACTGTACAGACCTTCTAAGGCTTCTTTGAAATTTAATAACTTCAAATAAAAAGTTTAAGCTGTAAATGGCTCCAATGATTTTGTCTTTTTGCTGGTAAAGAAATCATTTACTTTTGGTCTTTCATTTCATTCAGTTTCATTTAATTTATTT